GCCTTCCTGGAACATTCCTGTGAATAATTCGGTCAAAAGGGAAGAAGGCATCCTAATACGCCTTGCAAGAACACCGTATGGTCTTGAAGCTTCCCGAGGGAGAACATCGACGAATATACTTTGCAAGAGCATCACTCTACCTTTCCGGTATCAATCCTAAATCAGAAGGAAGAAAAGCTTTATAGATGTATTTTTGTAGGAACATCACTGATTTCTTGGTGCGTTGTGCAAGAACATCACACTGTCGCTGGATTGCCGGAAATAGGCTTACATCAGAAGAGAGAATAATGTTAACAGGTGAAAACGTTGACCTCCTGAACTTTGTCGGCAATAACCTTGGATCTGAAGAAGAAAGCACCCTAAATGCATTTTGTAAGAGCACAGTGATTTTGTCGATCTCTCTGCCTTGGATACGAAGAAGGAAAACACCTTTGGAAACACTTGCAAGAGCACCACTATAATTTTACAAATCTCCCGGTTAAAAACTTGAGAGAAGTGGAGCAAAAACGTCAGCAGGCGCACTTTGTAAAGACTACGTTGGGATCAGGGAGAGGAAAGCTTGCAAATGATCTTGTAAGGACAACACATTGATTTCTTCGAATTTCCAAAATATCCTTGGATTTGAAAAAGGAACATCTTTAGATGCATTTTGCAATTATGATTTTACAAATCCCTCCGGAGATAAAATTTGAACAGGAGGAAAAGTGTTAGCAGGCATGCTTTGTAAAAACACCATTTGGGATAATAAGGAGAATAAGCTTTGTAAATGCACTTCTCCAAGTCTTCCCAACAATAACCTTGGATCTAAGAAAGGGAAAGTACTTTTAGATGCATTTTGAAAAGGCCCGTCAATTCCCCTGGTAAGAACTTTGAATCAAAAGGAGGAAAAGTACAAATAGGCGCATTTTGTAAAAACACCATGATAGGACCAGGAAGAAAAAAAAACCTTTTTGCAAATGCATTTTGCAAGAACATCGCACTGGTTTCCAATATTGACCTTGGATCAGAAGGAGGAAGATCATTAGCAGATGCACTTGCAAAAACACATGCTGAATTCCGAAATCTTTTAGTAATGATTATATCAAATTGATGTGCTGCACCCTAGCGTGGGCCTCTTTGTTGCATTACAGAATGCACATGATCGAGTAAGTTTCGGAAATTTGGTTCTTTATGTAATTTGAGTAAGTTACATGAAATTTGAAAGTTACGTAAAATTAGATGTGTTGTAAAATTGTAACATTGTAAACAATCCTAATGATCTGTTGTAATGTCTTATCGTATTGAATATTGTAAACATTTGTTTATTTGGAGGTTTTAGTCACGTGAGCTTGTTAGGAACGAATTGTCGAGTAGGACTTTAGGATGGACATAAAGCGAACATTGGATCAGAAGAAAGAAAGCATCCCAGATGCTTCTTGTAAGAGCATCATGTAGATGGTTCGATTCTTCCAGTAATAAATTTAGATCAGATGGAGGGGAAGAAATGCATTTAGTAGACGCAATTTGCAAGAATAATAAAAAAAAAAAAAGAGAAGAAACGTTTGGCAGTGACCCTAAATCGAAAAGTGGAAAGCTCTTAGTAAACAAGAACGCGACGTCGCGCTCGTTTGCAAATATTTGCAAGGATATTGCTTTACCTTACTTAAAGCATGAAGATATGATTAATTAGTAAAATTTTAAAAATCATAATATTTTTCATAATTTTATTAATAAATTTATAAAAAATATTACGATTCTCAAAATTTTACTAATTAATCCTACCTTTATGCTCTAATTAAACTTGTACTACACATAAAAATACATTATAGTTATTTATATGTTTACTCTATATTTTTAAATTTTTTAAAAAAGATACTTAATTTGGAATTTTTGATTAAAAATTCCAAATTAAGCATTTTTTTTAAAAAATATAAAGTAAACGTATGCCGATAATGTATTTTTATGTGTAGAACAAGTTTAATTAGAGCATAAAGGTAGGATTAATTAATAAAATTTTGATAATTATAATATTTGTCTTTGGAATCTAAAGTTTTTTTTTAGAAAACTTCAAATTTCATGTTTTAAATAATTTTGTTTTACATAGGACCCTCCACAGCAAGAGTGATAGGCAAAAAAATTAGAAGTTTTAATTTTATAATAATTTTATTCTAATCAATCTAATTTTTCAAGATATTAAATTTTTTTAAAAAAAATTTTTTGGCCTATCTCCTTCTTTTGCTATGAGAGGTCTCATATATAAATATATATATATTATTGAACTTAAACATGTTCATGATAGTGCTTAGCACAATTAAACAAAAATTTAATAGCTAAATACTTGTAATTAAGTCAAATATCAAAAAATCACAAATTAACCAATATTATATATATATATATATATATATATATATAGTATAAGGGTGTAGCAATTTAGTGAAGTAGTAGAGTTGTTACACCTCTAGATGGCAGGTTTAAAGTTCAAATCTCACAGATGATGTTTTCAAAAAATAAGCTTGTGATATAGTGATAGTTATTTGTTAATCAGTTGGGTTTCAGAATCTGTAATCTTGGTAACACCATATTTACATAGAAGCTTTAGTATATAAAAGGCCAAAAAACTGCAATGATCAAAACCCATTTGGGAAGTTCCAAGTTGAGAGTAGCAGTAACCTTTGATAGTACTACAGAAAGACCAAATTTAGAACTAAAAACCAAGATCAGAAAACTGAACAATTAAGTTTATAAATAGAGAGACATATTAGTTAAACCATCAGCTTGCTACTAGAGAAAAGGAACTTGTACTCTGGAAGCATATATCAAGAGGAGAGAGACTGTAAGGCACTTAGAGCCTATGCAAACTAACACTTCTAGATTGTCAGCTAGAAGTAAAGAAGAGACTGATAAGAAATCTAGAAAAAAAAAAGTTAGAATATGAATATCAGAGTTGTTATAAACCTTGCAAGGGCAGGAAGTATATAATAGAAAAACTAATTAGGAAGATTGTAGCTTGAAATATAGATCAGATTATGGCAGTATCCAAAAAGATAGCTTGAGACATAAACCTGGTGGCAGTAGTACAACAGATACTAATTAGTAAAAAGTTACTAAACATGCAGATAAGTATATGTGTGAGATATATATTATTTTGTTAGGTTTTTTACAAAAATAAATATCCTCTAGGAAACTAGGCTAACTAGAGGCTAAAGTCTTAGGGTTTTTAATAGCAAATTACTTCAAAAGAATATATTAGAAGAAACATGATACAGAGGTTAAAGCCAAAGAGTTTAAATAGATAGCTTTCTAGTTAGGCTATAGATATAGTAGCTAATATAGAATCTTAGAGTAAATTACTTAAATTAAATAACCAAAAGTTGTACGTGTAGCTAGTTGTACTCTTATAATACCTTTGTAATATGTCATTAGTTTACTTAACTGATGAAGCCATTAGTACTAATAAAGTGCCAAGAGCCTAAGCAATTACCTTAATATTAAAAATATATATATATATATATAGTATTTAATTATTTGATATCTAATTTAATCACAAATATAATATATATTTAACTATCAAATTTTTGTTTAATTGTGCCAAACACTAGTTTATACAGTAAATATTAAACTAAACTAAAGCTTAAGCTTAAGTTCAGTTTAGATATATATATTTAAAATTTAGTTTAAATTTAAGTTCAAGATAGCAAATTTTGCAGTTTAAATTCAGGTTTAATTAAATCTTAATTTTAGTATTTCTATAAATCTGAACTAAACTGAACTTTGGTCAAGTTTAGATTCAGAATTAGTTCAGTTATATTCAATATTAAACTTTTAAGTTAAGTTCATATTTAGCTTTAATTTAGTATTAAACTTTTAAGTTAGGTTTATGTTTAGTTCAGGTTTAGTTTAAAGCTTATAAATATATTTAGGTTTAATAGTAGTTTAGTAACAAAATATAGTAGAATTTTTTTTATTGTCTTTAGAATTTTTAAATTTGAAGTTTTTTAAAGAAATCTTTTTTTTTTTTACTAAGTAAACCAATTTTCAACTCTCAAAAAAGTTATAGAGAAGTATCTTGTAATTAGAATAATAGTTAAACCATTAAAATCAGCTTAGTAAATTGTAAGATATAAGTATTTTAGATTTCACAACTATATATTTTTTTCTTTACATTAATAAAAAAAAAACAAATAGTTAGAACAAAAATATTTATATTTTATGATCCACTAAACCAATTTTAATTATTTAACTGCTATTTTGATTGCAAAACTCTTTTCTACAACTTTTATTAGAAGTTAAAGATTGAAATTAATAATATTTTATTAATAAAATTATAAAAAATATTATTATTTTCAAAATTTTACTAATTAATTATATTTTTATTCAACTCTTTCTGACAATCTCTTGAACTAACTTTTTACAACAAAAATTTTTAATAAAAACAGTAAAACTATACTAGAAAAGAAGAACATAAGACTGATGAGAACTATAAACTTGTATCTATTATTTAGAGATAGTTTTCATATACTATCTGCTAATAGAGTTAGAGCTTATCACTTACTATGGGAATGACACTTGTTATTTAGAAGTAGTTCTTATATGCTACTTGCTAACAAGTTCAGAGTTTATTACTTATCGAAAAGAATATCAGCAGTGCGCTTGGATCTTATTGTCTTATTATTTTTGGTAAAAAAATATACTCTCTTTTAGAAAAGTACAAGGTCTATACTCTTTACTATCACCTACTTGTGCTTACAACAAAATTTTCAAAAAAGTAAGCAAAACAGCTTACCCTTGTTAAAAGATTAGCATTATTTACTTCTTTCAAATTTGGTTGATCTAGTAGATTGCAACTACATGTTTTGTTTAGTAACAAACATATCACTACTTCACATGACAAGGTCTGTTAACTAGTCTATGGTTAAAGGTATACCCAGAATTAGATATATAGTTAGAAAGAAACTAATATATTAAGGCAAAGTCTTACAGTAGGGATATATAAATATTGCATTTGTTATATAATTTTTAAGCCTTGTACAGGTTATAATAGTATTATTAGGTCTCTTTTCTTTAATTTTTTTTTCTTTTTCAAAATCTATACTTTTTTTCTTTCATTTGTATTTTTTTTTTTTCTTTTTTTTTTGTCATATTCATTAAAGAACTTTTTATTTTTTCCTCTCTTTTGTTTTATGTCTCTTGAGAAGAAGGAAGAATTAGGAGAGAAATTAGTTCTAATACTTTAGTTCTTTAAGAGCTAGCATATAATCTGAATCATTCATGAATCAGTGCAATAGTTGTATCTAAGTACCAATAGGTAACTGGGTAAGGTTGAGCTTTTAGTTGCAGCTATGTTGTTATTCAACCATAATTGTCTCTTAAAATTAATTTGTAAACTATATATAAGTTTTGACAAGATCATTAAAGAATAAAAAAAAAAAAAAATTATATTTTTATATTCTAAGTAAACTTGTTCTATATATAAAACTACACTATATTAGCATATACTTGCATTATAATTTCAAATTTTAAAAAAATATTTTTAATTTTAAAAAATTTTAATCAAAAATTTAAAATTAAGCAAATTTTTTTTAAATTTTATAAATATAAAATAAATGTATATCTATATAATGTATTTTTATATATAGAACAAGTTTACTTAGAACATAAATATATAATTAATTAATAAAATATTAAAAATTATATAATTTTTTATAATTTTATTAATAAAATGTTGAAAAATATTATGATTCTTAAAATTTTATTAATTAATTATATATTTATATTCTAAGTAAACTTATTCTATGCATAAAAATACACTATATAAATATATATTTACTTTATATTTGTAAAAGTTAAGAAAAATATACTTGATTTTGAATTTTTGATCAAAATTTTTAAAATTAAAAATATTTTTCTTAAAATTTTTTTTTTTTTTTTTTTTTTTTTTTTTTTTAAGGTGACCTCTTTGGC